TGGTCTGGGGTCCCTCCCAGCCCCCCACATAGTCCATTCTGCTGGTGGCCAGAGTGAGGCACCGCTCACTGGGATACAGCCATGTCACTCCGTGCCAGCTCAGACATTTAATTCGATGCATGAGGGCGAGAGTATGAAACTGCTGACCAGGATCATTTCACTCCCACCCACAATGGAAAGTCAAATGTGTCAGGTCACAACAATCCCACGCCACTCAGACTCGGAAGCTCACCTCTACCAGGATGTCTGCAGAATCCAAAGACCCGCTTCCTTGCAGAAACAGTGAACACACTGAAGTCTACACCATCTTCTCTGGGGGAACAATCAGCTCTCCTGTGCTAACATCCGCTCCCTTTCTCTTAAGGTAGAGAAGACCTAAAGCACCACCAGAGGCTGATGCAGTCCATTGATAACGGCGCAGAGCATCTGCTGGCTAGCCAAAACCCTACCGGTGACTACTCGCAGGACTCCCAGCCATCTACCCACACCTCGCCAGTACCAGTCCCACGCTGAAGGCCAGGCCGCTGCGATGGTCACCAGGCATGGGAGGGTGCTAGCTGACTGTGGGTTGAGCTTCCACGCTGGTATGAAACAAGGGACCACAGATCTGGATTTGGTCTGCACGTTGGCATGGCTCAGGCTGCAGCTGGAACTGCAGGCAGCAGTGCTGATGACTATGACATCTGCAATCAGGACGCTCCTGGACTTCTGTCCTGATCACAAAGCCAGCCTCTGGGAGCCAATGTCCCCCACCACAACCCACCCCCAGGGCCTACACCTCACCCACTTTCCAGTACCTCTGAGAATTGTTCAACCAACAGAGGACAACTCTGGGCAAATCTCATCCTTAACAAATTGACTCAAAACTTTTAATCTAAGGAAAAAATTTCAGGGACAACTTGCTAATCACGTGAGAGGTCCCAGCATGCCCGGAGCCCGGCACAGGTTGACAGGGCCACTTACTTTATCCATTCTGTCTTGTTCCACGCCAAATTTCCCTCCATAGCCATGGGAGGCTTTTGGTCCTGTTTCCAGTTCCTTCTCCTTAAGGGTCTGATGTTCTTGAAAAACGTTCTCTCTCAGCTTGTGTATGCTTGCAGAGGAGAGAGAAAAACAGGAACAAATCAATAAACAGATGTGCATCCCTGCCTTCCAGTAGCATAAATAAGGACAGGTGACACTACTTTCATAAACTTCTAAGGTTTCGTTATTTGGTGCTTGCCAAAGCCCCTGCCTTCACTGTGCCTTCCTGATTGTTCTGCCTCCACTTTGGCAGTACTCAGTCAGATGGAAGTTTACTGGAAGAAGGAACACTAATCTGAATATGTATGTGGGATCATCCTAACTCCCTGCAAAGGTAGCTCCACAGAGATGTGAACTTGACTCCATCTGGAGAACAGCTTCTCGCTTGATCAGACAAGTGAGTTAGGAAAGCTAGCTCTGTAAACGCCGTCCAGAAGCAAGGGACAAAAGTCAAAGGTCCCTCACTGCAGATGTCCCAAAGACACCATAGAACCCAGGGACACTAAACACTTAGCTAGTTTGTCTTTACTTAAAGTACTCCAGCTTTTTATATGTTCAAAGATGAGATGAAAGGCCTTCAGAATTTACCATCTAAAAACTTTTTATTATTTTAAATACAGGGGATAGTGAAACAGATCACAAGATGTGATCAAAATGTGGCAGGCTAGGAAGCAGTTGTCACCACGACCCCAGAGTGGCACGAAGGCCCCCTCAACATGGAGCCTGCCTGCCCAGGAGACACCAGGTCCTCACCTTCAACAGCAGGACAACAATCCCAAGAGTGTGGGTAAAATACAAACCAGCCTTGGAAACCACCAACCCCTTGCCACAAGCCGGAGAAAGAAAGACCACATGACTAAAGCCAGGGAAAGGACCAGAACTGCCCAGGTCAAGACCTGTCCTCCTCCCATGTGTTCCCCTGAACCCTAGTCAATCCAGAGGCTGTTAGTACCAGAGAGCTCCGTGTGCTCTCCAATCCACCCTCCCCAACATGCTTTGCAGCCCCAGGGAACAGAGAGATGAGGAGGTTCAGATGACTTAACCAATTCAGGGTCTACCTAACCCCAGAGCAGATAACCCAAGGCCACACCAGACCCTGGGTCAGCTCCCATATCCAGCCCCTCTCCCAGCCAGCCCGGGGCCTTCTGTGTTCTCAGGCTGCTCCTGTCAGGGAGTGGGCTGAGCCAAACAGCGAGAGACCAACACTTGTGTCTAAAAAGCTACTGTGTAGACTTTGTCTTCTTTTCTGGGTGATTTACCGAGTCTTTCTCAGTCAAAGATACTGCAGCCAAGCAAGACAGGGTCTTCGCAAAGTACCAAAGCAGGTCATCCGTTCAGCGGTGCTGCCTTCACAACTAGGGAACTGGAGGAACCCAGCAGGGCTTAAAATAAGCCACGTTTTGAAGTTCCTTTTATCTACACTTCCTGACAAGAAAACAAACCATAGGGAGAGCTGGCATTTTAGATAATGCCAAGTCGGAAACAATGACATGGTCTACTCAGCTCTCCTATTTTGGGCTTTTCATAAGAACACAAAGCTTAGGATTCAGCTCACAGTATCCAACTATTAAATTCCACAATGCACAATAATTTCCAGACAATAATAAAACTAAAGGGGGGGGGATGATTAAGGTCTAAGTTATTCCAAGACATCTCACACTTTAGAAACCTCCCACTTGTGAGGAGAGGGAGGAGGGAGGGAGGTTTTGGTAATGGGCCACAATAATCAACCACATTGTATATCGACAAAATAAAATTTTAAAATAAATAAATAGATAGATAGATAAATAGATAAATAAATAAATAGATAGACAGATATAAATAGATAAATAGATAGATAGATAGATAG